TGCAATAGTATATAACCACTGATAGGATGACTACATACCTGGATTGAAGTTTACCAGTGAACGTATGAATTTATGTAGAACGATATAAAAATGGGATACGCTATCAAAGATGGTACCCCGGTGTACACACCCATTTCATAGCCTGTCACATTGTTAGGTAGAATGAATGATTGCGTGTGTGTGTATATGTGTCTGTGTCTGTGTAAGTGGTATACGTAGATTAAGTAGTGATACCTATCAACCAAGAACACTCGACAAGTATAGATACCTACCAAAGGCACGTCACTGCCAAATCAGTTGATAGTCAGACATTTTATTTTCGTATGGTAAACAGAATTGTCTTTTTTATTTATTAGCGTGCCGTATAGAGGATTTCGTAGTTAGAGCTCGTCCACACAACATGCATGCAGAGAGACAGTCAGGCTATTCTTTATACGCCGGGATAGTTCGGTACGAGCACTCTTTCTCATACAAAGGCGATCTCTATCACACGGTTTATATCCAGAATGGCTTAGAATACGGCCCTAGCTAGCCCGTCAGATGGGGTCCTGAACACCTGCATCTGCAATGCACTGGGGTTGTAGGGCTTTTAAGGTTTAGGGTTTTTGGGTTTAGCCTAGACCCTAAAGACGTTCAGGACTGGACTATCCCCACAGTTAAATTTGGCACATGCTCCATTCTTTGACTCCGTGGCACACATACACTGTCACAGCCGTCACTGAGTATCGTCAATGGCAACTAGCAGGCATTTAGAGGTATTCTTTGGATAAAAGGAGACGCCGTACGAACAATACTGCAGTACTAATCCTTTTGTCTCTGTGCAACACATACACTGCCACAGCCATCATTGAGTATCGTCCATGGCAATTAGCAGGCCCTTAAGTTATCCTACGAATGAGCGGAGCCGTCTTACCGACTATACAGCATATCTGTTCCACCTGCTTTGCTAATAATTGTGCTCCCTACTCGAGAACGACGGCATTGAGTTGGTTGTATACTGTCACATGCTTAGCTCCGAGTTCCGACACTCTAAACTGAGTATCTCGCGGATACGTACTGTAGGGTTTTAGGGTTGTAGACCTTAAATCCCTAAAACTCTACACTCAGTATCTCCCGCACACCTACTGTAGCCTACACCGTAGACGCTGTAGGTGGTGTATCATGTATGACAGCATGCTTTATGTACTTAGGCATATAATATCCCATAGTACATGCCATACCATGGTTTACGTATTTTGGTATATGCTATACCATAGTAAATACCACATCGTGGTTTGCTTTTCAAACACATGAGGCGCACATCTACAACTCCATTAATGTAGTAACGGTGTGTCGTTGGCTTGCCAGGGATGGGAAACTGGCGTTTCGGCGTTTCCTGTCACCACTCAGCACCTTTATTATCGCCACATTATATGGGTCTATAGTTCCCAAGATCAACCGCAGTAGACCTTATCTATTAACAAGCTGGTGCTGGCCTATCACATCATCACTCGGCACGTTTAGTATCACCACGTATAAGGGTCAATGATTCCCGAGATTAACCGCAATAGTACCATTCTATCAACAAACTGATGTCGGTTTATCATATCACCACTCAGCACCTTAAGTATCACCACGAGTATATATGGGTCTATAGTTTCCAAGATTAACCGCAGTAGTGAAAATAAATAACAGTTGATGCCGGCCTGTCGTACCACCACTCAGCACCTTTAGTATCACCACGAATATGGCTCTATGGTTCCCGAAATTAATCACGCTCTCGCAAAATTCGGCAGGCATTCTTCTCGGATCGTGTGTCTCATCCCTGTAGCAAATAAAGTAAAGAGTATCGTTAGATAAAGCACAGAACATGATATTAAAAGTGTTGAAGCTGTGTGCATTTCTTGTACTTTTACATACATAGCAGGTATTTTTATTTTTGTTATACATCCACACAAGATTTTGCAGATGTGTGAGTCGGTTGTCAGTTAGCACACTTGCCGGCATTTTGATCCTGATAAAAATAGAAAAATCACCTTTGTTTTTTATGCGTCGAACCCAGGTGTCATCAAAAATCTACAGTACTGGAAAGTCACTTGTAGAGTAAGAATTACTCTCTCTATCAGAACCTAAACCCTAAACACATGATCTCTTATCCGTACCTCGGACCGCATGGTCTGAACGGATATTTACACTTAGCATAGACTTATAAACAAGTTGAACATCAACCAAATAAATTACTCATTCAGATTAAGAACTTTATTTGGCTTCTACAGGTTATGGACAATTTTTATTCCAACAACGTACTGTTGTTCAAATTTTAAGATTCTATCACCATGGATACTTCAGAACCCACTTCAAAACTGAAGTGGACACGCCTCACCATTACAGGCGACAACTACGACGAATGGCTCCAGCACCTCATTTGCGGCCAACACCGACTATATTGAGGACATTGAATCAGTTCTCAACTACAAATACGTCAAACAAGAACTTTTAGAAAAAACCGCTGCTACATCATTTGAAAAATGAACCCCCGCTACTGATCGCGGCCGTTTGGAAGCCCGTGAAACATCCATCAAAAACACAAAAGATGATGGTCGATATCAAAAGGCCAGACGATGCCTACTTCGATCACTTCGTAAGGAAGTCATGGACTCCCTCACCAAGGAGGAACAAATGGACGATCCTTGGGCACTACTGTTCTACCTTAAAAAGTACTATTCTCGCATGTCCACAAAAGTATCCAACACTATCACCCTTGAATTTCTTCAGGAATTTCGTCGCGCTGATGATGACACTATACGACATTGGTCCCGACGATGTGCTCAAATCTGCACGGACGCGAAAGCCCAAAGCACTCGGTTTACCCCCCGCATTCATGTAAGGCATGTTTATCTCTGGACTAGGTGATCCCGACAATGATATTATCAAACACTACGTGGTAAACAACCCTGACCGAGAGGATCTTACACCCCTTGACGTATCCGTACGACTAGAGAAATGAAACAAAGTCACTTCTCTGGTCAACACATATCGTATCCCAAAGACAGCAACACTCTCCAGTACATCAGCATCGAAGTCACCACTACTATAGCAACTCTATTGGCTACACTCCTGAAGCGTATGGATCAACTAGAACAGACTAAACCACCACCCAACTCTCGCACTCCTATACCATGTTTTTGTGTGTTACACTACCGGTCACCGTTCCAACAGCTGTCCCAAAGGGTGTGGAAAATGTGGTGCCAAAGGCCACAAAAGCGGATCATGCACTGCAACCAACCTCAACTGCACCACATATAACCGCACTAGCCATGTCCAGGAAGTCTTTAATATGCGTAGAAATACACACAATTACAATTATGTTGGTCCCACTTTAGCATCTTTACGCCCCGGCATCAAGGCACTACACAACCCAAATAATGGTTTCCTTATCGACGGCGGTGCCGAAGTGAATTTACTTCATCCCAACTCACGACACTTACTCACCAAGATAAAGACAGGCACTTTTCCACTACTTTTAGCCGACGACAGCGAATGTATTGTCCACGAACGCGGGTACTTACCCCAACTGGGTGCAACATACATCACTCCAACAGTACAAAAGCAATTAATATCTCAGAACTATCTCCAAGATGAAGGCTACGACATCTACTTAAGGGCAACACTAAGACTTGTGTTCTCTCCAAGGGCAACAACACACTTTCTATCCCTCGCACACAAGGGGGATATAAAACATCTTACTCAGACATCATGAGACTGACACAAACTACATCCACCACCAAGGATACCAACCATCCCGCACCCCCACACAAAGATACACCCCAGCTCCCACCACCGCGGGTATGTACCACCACACAGGTACCCACAGATGACCCCACACCCACACCATTACGATGAATTCCACAGCATCAATGGCCACCGCGGTCGCACCACGACGTAAAAATGGCTGCCAAGAAAAGGATCATCCTGACACACAAACCACCTGTTAGGCGTAACAACGGAAGACTGGATGATAAATAAGCCGGATTTCAACCGTGGCATGCAACACGTCGACTTCGAACCGTCAATTGACCTTTTTGCTTTCAAGCGCACTGCCCAACTACACCGCTACGCCAGCCCATCGGGCGGCGGAGTCGCCACAGATTGGCGTAAAATAGACTTTTTAAAGGAACGCGCCTATGCTACCCCAATTGGATCAGAATTCTCTGAACTACTTGACGACATAATCACCAAGGGTGCTACCGCCGCCATCCTCGTCCCACTCCGACCACTCGCAAAATGATGGAATAAGTTTATTCCACGTATTCAGACTGCATATCATACAGAACACACCTGACACCTTTTTTCGACACTGTTTTACCACCGTGGGAAACCTGCCTAGGTTTATTCCCTCATCGTGTAAAATAGCGGGTTCCTAATAGTAGTTGCACAATTGACGTATATTATAAACGTGTTAACGTATTAACGTTTATACTTGTAATACTGTAATGCGTTTAACGAATTGGACATGAACAAGAACTGAGATATTCAAGATTCTGAACAGGTGATAGTACTCAGTAGAGTATGGGACTCTACTGTGGACAATTAAGTGGTTTTCCAAATATATATTGGTTTTTCCACTGAAATTAGAATTGTAGATAATATAGGAACGATACCAATCTGACACCTGAAAATGACACTTTGGGAATCTCTAATTAACGGGAGTACCAGGAGGGAGGGTCTCAGGCATGAAATGGTTGTTGGTACAAACCTATGGTATAATTCGATAATAATCTCAGCGCAAGATAATCCACTGAGAAAAGGACAGGATCAGAGTTGTTAGAATTTAGGACAACATGGTTTTGATTCCTTCTAGCCAGCCAACTAGATGTGCCCCTCTATGCCTTAAATGGGATGGAGAGCTAGGTACCAAGTGATGGGGTTTAGATGCAGATGTATACTGCACCGACTTGGTGTTTTGATTTCATTTTTTATTTTCTTAAGTTGGACTTGGAGATATTTTATAGGTTAGTTTGATTAGGTGATTGTTTCGAGGCGTGAAATGTAAACTATGTGTCCAATGAAATGATATCTAGTCTTAGTAACTAAAACATAAATAAATCTAGACCGAAGTAGTGAGTGATTAGAGAGGAGCATACAGACAATAGTTTCAGTCTAAAATCCCCTACTCTTTTGCTCATTACCAAGGGCTGAAGCTAAACTTATTTAACACTTTGCATTTTAGCGTTTTAACGTATTGTCTTATTAACGTAAACGTCTTGGTATCGTATAGTCAGCCTAGAGGAGACCGACTTTTACAATCGCTAAGGTTGGCCCAATTCACTTCGCGATTTCTCCGCCACACGAACTTTGCACTGCAATCACATACGTATTGGCCCACCCTGAATTTACGAAGTATTGTAAAGTTTGTATTGAAGGAAAAGTCAAAGCGAAAAACGTGGCACACACCGATTCAACAACCAAGGTCGGACCTGGCGAACAATTCCACCTCGACCTCCAAGGCCCTATGCCGGAAGACCGATACAGATGCCGCTATACCCTTAACTTGATTAATGATGGCAGTCGATTTGGACTGCACGATAAACTCAAGACGAAACAGGACATGCATTTCCACCTATAAAACTTATTCTCCGAGTTTCGGCCCATTGGAATATATA